GTTTACTAGAAACAACGACCTGTGGAGCAATTTAATGCAAAAATTGGTCTAAAATTCCTAACGCAGTTCCAGCAAAACCTATCCTCATTAGGAATTTGGACTGTGTTATCCAGGATCATGATGGTGATGTTCTTCTTAATTTTAGAAGATCTTTAGATCTACCCAGATCTACATCATCTCGAGGAATTAATCTTCCTTATAAAGTCTCCTATCCTCCTTTTCATAACTCTTAGCTTTTGCCTTGCCTTTGCCACGGCCTTTTGTGGTATTACCACGGCCCTGCCCATTATGGGGCTGACTCATGAACCATGTAGAAATTCACGGGTTAAAAAGACAGGTAAAGAGTTAGAACTACCTTTAATATATTCAATTGAATAATCAAAAGCAGATAAATCAGCTTGCCAACCAGCAAATATCTATTTGGAAACTAAAATTTTAACATCTTTTTCCAGTACTTGTTTAGCAGCACTACAATCAATGCGTAACAAGAATTTCTAATTAATTAAATCATCTTGGAATTTACAAATGCATTTAACTAAAGAAAGAATTTCTTTCTTAATAGTGGAATAATTTAATCATGCATTTTTCCAAGTTCCTCAAGTTAAGTGCACAAGCTCCTCTGTTCCTGTTTCTGGATTTTTCTATTTAAGAATACCACTATATCCAATGTTGGATGCATCTGTTTCAACAATCTTAAACCATGAAGAATTTGCAAGAGCCAGGCAAGGAATTTGTTTAGCTCGCAGTTTAATCTTCTGGACTGATTTGGTATGTTCCAAAGTCCAAGGAGAATGTGATTTCCTCAACCTTGTATACAAAATTGTTGTATCCTGTGTAAGATTCTTGTAATGGTTACGAATATAATTCAGACTATCAAGAAATCTTTGAAGTTGAGTTTTGTCCTTATTTTCGTCATGGAATTTAGAGGCAAACTCAATTCTATGATCAATAGGTCTAATTTTTCCATCACAAATTTCATAACCCAAAAACTTACTTGAGTAAGGAAAATTTTTAGTTTAGGAGCAGAAACTGCTAAACCACTTCTGTAAATGACATCTTTGAAAATTTTCAAATGTTTATAATGTTGATCTATTGATTTTGAAAATATTAAAATATCATCAATATATACAATAGAAAATTCAGTATAAAGATTAAAAATGTCATTCAAAATATGTTGAAATTCTGAAGGGGCATTTTTAAGATAAAATGGCATTACTGTCAATTCATACTGTCTAAAGGGTACACAAAAAGCAGTTTTATATCTGTCCTTTTTTGCAATCTGTACCTGGTAATATCCTGATTTAAGATCAAACTTAGAAAATATTACAGCAAACTGTAATCTATCTAACAGATCTTTTATGTTGGGAATCAGGTACCAAATCCAACTCAAAGAAAGATTGACTGGTTGATAATCAATAACCAGACGAGGAACTCCTCGTTCTTTTTCAGGGTTTTTATTTACATAAAAAGCTCTGCAACTCCATGGGGAGTAACTGGTGGTAACTAGCTTCTTTTCCATTAAAGAGCTAATTTCCTTTTTGCACAGTTCTAAATAGTCAGCCTTCATGTGGCTTGGACTAGCTTTAGAAGGAATCATGAGATCGATAAATCCCTTTTCATAGGGTAAAGAAACAAATGCTTCTTTCTATCCCAAAAAGCATTAGGAACATCACTACAGATATCATTTAGAAAATTTTGTCATATTGACTCGATTTTCTGTTGCTCAGTGGGTTGTACCAATCGTTGATGAATTTCTAAGGATAAGACTTCCTTTTGCAAATAATTCAGTTGCTATTCCTTAAAGAAATGCTATCTTTAAGAGCATTAATATGCTTATTCACAGATTTGGTCAAAAACTCAAAAGTAATTAACTGACCCTGTAGAATTGAGCATATTCCATGAGAATCTATTTTCTCAATTGGCATAATCAAGGCTAAAAAAGGAATGCCCAGAATAACCTATTGTGCCATGTTTTTAATAAGTAAAAAGGTAAATAGAAGACAAATACCTTGTTTATAGATAAAAACGTGATTAAGTTTATACTTAATCTGCATCTTACCACCACTTGTACTGGTAAGACCTTGAGTGGTTTTCTCAAAATATTGAGTAGGGACCAATCCTTCTTGGATACAGTTCATGTCTGCACCACTATCAACTAAAGCAACCGCATTAGTGATAGTAAATTCCTGATTGATTACCAAATTAATGGAGATGTAACATTTTTGATAAGTAACCTGATTTAAAAGATTAAGATAATCTTTGTTTTCAGGTTTGGATACTTCAATCTGGAAAGATGAAGATTCAGTAGCATGATTAGCCTTATCCTTTAAAAGCTTGATTTCCAAATCCATACTGTTTTGATGAATTTTCATTTGGCGGATTTCAGCTTTTTAATTGTTAACCTCCATTCTTAAATCTGGAAGGTTTGCAGGACGAGAGGTTTGGCTTTGATGTTCTAGTCTGTTTAGAACTTCTTTCATGCTGTAATGATTCTCAGATCGTAGAAAATCTGGATTATCATTATCCTCTTTAGGTTGTGCAATAGCAGAACCTATTTCAAAGATCTTCATTTTTATCCGAGGATCTTGAACTTGATCTATAAGATCCAATAAAGATTGTTGATGAGTAGTTAGAACATTTAAACTAAGCCCATTCATTTCAACAATTGCTTTATAATTATCATGTGAAGGATTGCAAGAACATTTTGGATTACTATTTTCTGCTTCAGAGGAAGAAGAAGACTGTAATTCCATGACTATGTTCTCGGAATCAAATGAACCAATTTCAGAAAAACTAGTATTAAGCAATAATTTACTTAATTGGAGTTTTAGTTCTTCATTAATTTGAAGACTACTAAGTTTATCCTTAGTTCTACATTTATTGGCATAATGGCCTATACACACACATTTGAAACACTTAGCCTCTGTTTTGGGCTTTCCTTTACCCTTTGCTTTAGGAATATATTTCCTTTTAAGCTTAGTGTACGGTTTGGAATCATCAATTTTCTTTTGATAATTCTTTCTTTTGGAGTACTTCCTTTTATAAGGCTTCTCAGCCTTATGTCTTTTCCTAGTAGTAGGATAAGATAAAGGAGTTGAATAGGCTAATTGATCACAAAATTCACCTACTTCTTTTCTACCAGTTAATCTCTGTGCTTTTAACTGGGTTTGTAACTTCAGATCATTACAGAGAGCTAAACCTTCTTGGATTACAATGTTTACTAATCCACCATAGGTATAGTTTCTGTAAGGGATAGAGATACCATTATTCATATCTCTTAATTTCTTCCTTATCCTTTCTGCAAAGAAAGTAGGAAGACCATCCACAAATTTTGCTTAAAAGTAACAAATAAATTTGATTAAAAGAAAAGTTGCAATGGTGAAGAATTGAAGATGAGGGGAAAAAAAAAAAAGAGCAAATCCATTTCAACAATAAATAAATTATAGTGTTAAATGGGGCAGGGCGGGTACCCACGGGGGTAAAAATGTTAAACAATTACGGGGATGGGGTGGAAAGTTCTCCCGTTTTTGTGGTTTTGGGAGGGGACGGGGGCAAGATTTTTAAACGATTGCGGGGGCGGGGGAGGGAAGACCCACCCAAACCCACCCCCGTTGCCATCCCTACGCTAGGTTAATTGCCCAATATAACATATTTAGGACAAAGTGACAACTTTGTAATCTTGTTGGGAGTTTTTACAAATAGATTAAGATTTTACAATAAAAAAAATAAAAGTAGTAAGGGTTTTATGATTTAAGCCCTATTTTTTATCTCACAAGTTGATGGACATTGAAGGAGGCCTTTAACCAAGTCAATAATGAGTAAAACTCAAATAGTTGTTGTCGTTACAGCTGTTTGATGAACACTCTTATAAGTGATGTTATATTTGAAGACGATGGGTTTCAGAACAGCTATTATTCTATATATCTACATTTTGTAGAGAGGAAAGCTACGGTTGGATGTGGATGTTATCGAAAGAAAAGTGATAAATTCATTAATGGAAGGCTGAGTATTGTAGATAGTTTGGGGTCCAGTTCTAGATATATTCACTCATGGCAGGGCATTCTCACATGAGACTAAAAGGTCTTTACTCTGTTTTTGACTTTTGTTTTGCTGAATCCTTTTATGATTGTCCTCCTGGCCCTCTACCTCTTACTTTTTGTCTTGGTAGAGTTAGTGGATTCATAGATATTTCATTCTTGTTGAAAATATGTTCGGTTACATATAATTAGTATTTTAAAATTAAAATTTTATGTAACCAAACATAAACAAGAGGTACTACTACATAGTAGGTACTTTAAAGTACTAAATTTTTTTTTTCTCTCTTAAAGCCTTGTTAATATAGTACTCTATGTTTACTTGCCAAAAAAACAGAAGGCTAAATCCTCCTTTCGATAAATTATTACATAGTCTCGGGACCATTGATTCTAGCCGATCAACACTTGACATGTCAAGAAATATAATAATTTTTTCCTCCTAATAAGCAATTGTGGGTTAGTGTATGCCTTACTAATGCAAAAAGAATAATAATAATAATAATAATTAAATATTATACAGATAGAATATGGAAATTAAAAAAAAAAATTTGAAATAATACTAAATAGAGAAGCAAACAAATTGACTTTTCCGTATTTTCTTACTTATTTGGTGAGCTTTGATTTTCTCTTCAATTATTAGCATTGATTTGGTTCATAGCTAGTGAACACAATCTTCTCCCTCAAAATTTGAACATTTTTCATATATATATATATATATATATATATATATATGTAATAAGATTCATTTCCTGAATAGTAAATACTGCTATTTTTTTTTTTTTTAAACCAAGGCAACAAGAGAAAAGAAACAGAAAAATCAACACACATCCCCCAGCAAAGCATCTCCAACAGAAGCAGGAACCGTATAGGCTCAAGAAAATTGGAAAGAAAAAACCATCTACATATTTCAGGAGCCACCCTATTACAGTGTCTTAGAACCCAATTCAATGAGAAATCTTCTCCATGCTAAAGAAGAACCTTAATATCGCGAATAATCGTGGCCAAAGCTTCTGCTAATGAACACAACTTCATAATTGTTTGACAATCCCCTTCAAAAATAATTCTAGGCCAGCCCCATTGTAGACAAACTTGTTTAGCCGCTCGAAGTGAAAGACTTTCAGCTACCACTGGTGAAGAAACATCTTGAAATAGCCAAGAGCCCAAACTAAGAACTCGCCCTTCATGATTTCTAGCAACATAGCCACCCCCACATAATTTTGAAGAACTAAACGTTGCATCAACATTAACTTTGACAAAATCATTAGGAGGAAGGCTCCATTGAGAACTTTGAAGCGGAGCATGATGAGGAACAATGGATAACAATTTATTTTGTCTCTGGACTTCAAAAAATTCATGAGAGTCAAATACGGCCTTTTCAACCAGAGTCTGAGGATCCACCATTTTGGATAATGCATAATGCATGTTTTGTTGGATGGCAGTTTCCTTCTTGTGTTAATGTGATGGTGCACCACCACCTTCAAGTCACCTTACCCCACCACAGCTGCCGTGCCTTACTACCATTTGATGGTCTGTGGGGGCTATGTTTATGAGGTTGATTGAATAGAAATAGAATAAGGAAGAATGTGCCTGTATTCATCACTGTATAATATCAATATGTATGGATAAACATATATTTAGGGGTAGAGGGGCATTCATTTTTCAAGACTTGTACGGTGGTGGCTAGGCAAAATGAGACCCATATGGTTTCAGTTTCATTGTGACATTGTGTACTCAACGACCACTGATGTGAACTTTCAGTCTACGATCCCATGATGTCGAGTTTTTCATGTTCCAGCCTCTTAGTGAACTTTGTTCGACTCCGCGGGCCCATGCTATCAACTTTTCTTTATTTTTTTTTTTTTATTTTTTTTTTTAACTCTCAACTTTCTCTAAGAGCATCTCCAATGGTACGTCAAAATACATTTTTCTGTAAAATATATAATGCCACATATAATGTAGAAATTTTTTTCATCTCCTACGGTCAGTTAATATACATTGTCACATCACCAATGTGTAAAAGAGTTGTGTATTTTACGCAACTATTTTACACTGTCAAATCAACATATTTCCTTTCTCATCCCTCTTTCTCATTCCATTAAAAAATCAACCATATATTAAGTAGGTTTGTAAAAATTATGTAGCGTCCTAGCATGACACATGGTTGGGAGATATATTTTTACACAAGATATAAAATAACCGTTTGAGCTAAAATTAAAATAATTCAAATTTTTTGTGTAAATCCATCATAGCACAAAAAAATATACACAATAGTTAGAGATGCTCTAACTTTTCATGTTAAAAAAAAACAATATATATATATATATATATACACACACACACACATTTTTATGCATCTATTTTAGTGAACTTAATTTCCTCAATTATGTCCTTTTCTTTCCTTTTCTTTTTTTGTCATTAATTATGTCCTTTTCTTGCAGAACGGATGAAAGTACTGTATTAATTTCTTTTGAAATTTCAGATTCTGTGATTGGCCAAGACTTACCCTGTTTAAATTCATCTCAAAATTGCATGAATTAATGCAAAGGAAGCGCAGAAGTCCGTTTTTTGTTTATGATTGGTCATACAAGTCTCGACTCCATTTAAAAATTGAATTATGTAATGAAAATTGGTTAACGGCCAATTAGCGGTTGGTAAATGGGTTTTTTTTTACGTTGACAGTCTGAGATTTCAAAAATGTACATTGACACCTCTCCAATCCTCTGAAACCATGTAAAAATATCTTTTAACTTTTTGATTTGTGATTTTTTTTTTTGGGTTAATTACAACACACCCCCTGAAGTTTGATATATTGACAGCTATATACAACTTAGCTATTTTTTGGACCCTGTGATAATTTGGGTCCAAACAAGCCCTTAAGACGTTGGGAAAGATAAGATTGCCCTTTAATATTTAATTCATTTTTATTATAAAATATCAAAACTCATGAAAAATCAAATTTGCCCTTATATATATATATATATATATATATATGAAAGAGCAGGTCGAAACGACCATGGAAGGTGGACTGTAGCTCCAGGAGAGTATGTCACAGACCCATATTCCTTCTCCGGCAGAACCAACAGTAACGGCAATGGTAATGGTGAGTTCAATTGAGATTTTATGTGGGATTTTCATGGGTTCAATTAGCTGGAATTTTTTGTGGGTTTTTCATGGGTTCAATTAATGGGTTTTGGTTATGTAGCAGAAGTTGCAATGGTGGGTCGAGAAGAAAGAAAGGGGTGGGCGGTATTTGTGGGCGGTGGTGGCGACTGGTGGGTGGTAGTTGCAGTGGTGGCTATGGTAGCACCCACCATCGCCGTCACCACCACCACACAAGAAGACTTCATTGCTAGACTAGACTCAAAACTCACCATATATAGCAAATTTCTAATTAATTAGGCAATAAATTGAAAATCCATAACATAATTTAGGGAAAGATACTTCTACCAAACATATATATATTTATATATATATATAAAGAATAAACCCTATAATCAAGCAAAAATAACCATACATAAACACAAGCCCAACCCTATAATCAAGCAAAAATAACCATACATAAACACAAGCCCAGAACCAAAATAACCATTGATTTGGATATATATATATATATATATATATATATATAAATCAATTTCACACCTCCTTATATATAAGCATGTATATATCGATAAAGCTTAGCATATGTAAATATATATGTATATAACCAGATTCTTCACATGGGTCTTCTAGATTCTTCCTCCTCAAATCAACTCCGTCCTCATCCCGCCGGCAGAGTTGGTGGCTCCGTCCCATCATGATCTCCATCATCCAACGGCCTCAACAATTTGGTGATGAAGCTTTGTGCTGATGGTGAGCTTTTCAATTGGACCATCGCCAAGGCATACTACTTCGAGCGTGCGCAGATATGTATTGCCAGATCGCAACTGTTGTACACAACTACCTGGTCTTCTGGTTGGGAGGTGGTGGTTCGTCGATGGGTGAAGGGAAAAGGGTAAGGCTCGTCTGCAAGAAGAGAGAGAGACAAAGTCTCATGGACCCACTCCCCCACTAGGTCTTTTCATCTCAAGAGCACTTATACTGCTCTCCTTCCCCCTAGCCCTCTAATCAGCTGGTCCCATGTCATTTGGTTCAAGTACCGCATTCCGAGGCACTCTTCTATAGCTTAGGCTGCTATCCATCACAAGCTTTAAACCAGAGATAAATCTCGCTTTTCAAATAGGCATTTTGACAGAGCCTGCTCCCTTTGCAACTTGGAGGATGAAAGCCATAATCACATTTTCTTCAATTGTCCTTACTCTAATAGAGTATGGCAATTTTTACAGCATAAGTGTGGGATTTACACCAGTGAGCAGGGTATTAAGGCCATTGCTATCTGGATTGCAAACCTGTGGTGCTCGACGTCCAAGTCTCCCAAGGCGTTAATGTACAAATTATGCTTTGCGTGCTCTGTGTACTTCCTATAGAGGGAGAGAAACAATAGAACCTTTACAAATCTGAGACTTACAGTAGAGCAACTTTGGAATCAAATTGAGGATTGCGTCAAGAGCAAGTTCTCCCCAATTCTTTTTTCAAACTGCACTTCGTCGAGGGCTGTCGCCGCTGCTTGGAGGCTTCCGAGCACAGTCATCGCTTCCAATCCCCAGTTAGAACTTAGGGGGTAGGGGTGTGTTGTTTGGGTGCCTTTTATTTTATTTTGGTGCTTATTTCTTTTCCCAGCTTGTCTGGAGTTTTCTTTGCCTTTGAGCCTCTATTTGGGCATAGCCATTCTGTTTTTCCATTTTGTTCCTTCCTAATAAAGTTTAACTTACCGAAAAAAAAGAAAAGAGAGATAGAAAGACCCTCAAACTGCTCATGAGGACTACTGATAGATTAGAGAGAGAAAGTAATAAATAAATTAAATAACAAAGGGTAATTATGATGGGTGCTTTTGGTCATTTTTCACTTTTGATATTTTGTCATAATTAATGATTTAAATAATGAAGAGTAAAATAGATATTTCACTAATTTTTTAACATGAAAAAACTGATCGGGGGTGTCATTGTTAACTTTATTAAATTTAAGGGGTGTCATCGTTCAAAAGTAGCCCAACTTATATATAGCTGTTATTATGTCAAACTTCAGGGGGTGTCATTGTAATTAACTCTTTCTTTTTTTTAATGGTTTTCTATTAATATATATAGAGAGAGAAAAATGACAAAACTAAGCACTTCAATAATATGCGATCTTGTGCTCATTTCGAATTTAATTAAAAGAGGAAGAAAGATATCACGCAAAATTTTTAACCATTTAGTCCCCAGGAGCATAGTGGCATTGACGAAGATTCGGAAGATAAGTCCTTGAGGTCTAGTTTTCGAACTATACTCCTGACTTAAATGGTACTTATGTTGTAGGACCGATACACATGCTCTAAAAAAACTAAATAAATAAATAACAAATAGAATTAGAATCCACTTTTGTGCTTGTATGTGAAGAAATTAATGGACAATCAGTGCACAAGAGAGAATAATTCCTCAACTTTTTTTTTTTTTTTTTTTCATCTAAATTCCACAACATGAGAGCAATTCCTCAATTTTTAACTCTCAACTTTCTCTAACTTTTCATGTTAGGAATTAAAAAATAAAAAAAACAAAAAAAAAGGGATATATACATTTATATGTATCTATTTTAGTGGACTTAATTTCCTCAATTATGTCCTTTTCTTCTTTCTTTGTTTTGTCATTAATTATGTCCTTTTCTTGAAGAACTGATGAAAGTACTGTATTAATTTCTTTTGGTGGTGTTTGGGTGTGGTGGTGGTAATGCACAATTTTTGGCTATTTAAAAAAAAAAAAAGATTTAAATTTTTTTATTTTTTATTTTTATGTTGTGGTGGTGGTAATTATGGTATTAGTGTTTGTACACACAAATTTTGTAATCTGAATAATAAGAAACAAAATATGGGCAAATAAAATATTTTATTAATTTGGGAAAATTTGAAGTACAATCCTCTGTAATAATATTCTTTACACAAAATAAGGTCCTCTGATTCGATCTCCTTTATTGGTTGGATTCAAGGGCTGCACGAGCTTGATCTTGAATCACCATGGAATTTGGATGAAGAACGGCACAATTTGATGTGCTGGTTGTTGATCACCGTAAAATTTGATAAAGAACGGCACGATTTGATGTACTTGGTGTTCTTCACTTTTGGGCAAAGTTTCTGTATTCTGAATTTTGAATTTCTTGACCTTCTGGATTTCTAAATTTGTGTTTGAATTTCTAAGTCTCTGGATTTTTGGACTTCTGAATTCTGAATTTGTGTCTGAATTTCTTGACCTTCTGGATTTCTGAATTTGTGTCTGAATTTCTGAGTCTCTGGATTTCTGGACTTCTGAATTCTGAATTTGTGTCCTCTAGAT